ACACACACACACACACACACACACACACACACACACTTCCCTAAAATAATTTAAAGTGAAATGTTACCAGTGGTTATAATAGAGTAGTAAGATTAGAGGGATTATTTTATTTTGTGTCTCTATTTTTCAAACATTTTAGAATTCTCAGGGTAAATTCTTTTGATAGTAGAAAAAGTATACTTATCATCTTTATCAATAGTAACTCTAATAAGTTTGTGTCCTTCTCCTAGTAATCATCTGACCAATCTTCTGATGGAAAACAATCACCATGAGCAACTCGGGTATTCATTTTCCAACCTCTGCTAACAGAAGCTCAGTATTAGTGAGAAAAGAATCAAATGGTAAAAGGACAATGGTGGACTTGTGATTCACTCAGTCTCATCTTTTTCCCTCTCTGAACATCAGCTTCTTCCAAAAGCAAGAGGAAGAGAACCAGAACCTCACTGGAGCTCAACTTGACAGGCGCTGTGGATGTTGTCTAGTTTGTCCTCCATTTAACACAGAAATCCCAGCAAAACTCTTCCTGAGTGCTTCTGATGCTGAGGCTCTTCCTGGTGTGGGAGACAGTCCTTCTTGGGTCTCTCATGGCTCAGCGTGTTTTAAAAACACAGACTGTTTTAGTCAGCTTTATCATCACTATGACCCAAAGGGTTGACAATCTGTAAGATTGTTCTTTGAGGCTCACAGTTTCAAAGCCACACTCCATAGATGGCCAGATCCACTGCTCTGGGCCTGAGTTTGGAAGGTGTGGAGCAGTGCAGGACATGGCACCAGAGAGCAGAGAGAGAGCCCCTCTCAGCAGGGACAAAATGTAAACCCCAAAGGCACCACCCGGTGACCCACCGCCCCCGGCCATGCCCTACCTGCCTACAGTTACCACCCAGTTAATCCATATCGGTGGGCCAATCCACTGATTCGGCTCTCATAATCCAATTATTTCAGCTCTGAACACTCTTGCAAGGTCTTACACATGAGCTTTTGGGTGCTACCTCATATCTAAACCATAACACAGGCGCTGGCTAACTTTTTAAAGATGTTTGTAGAACAAACATCCTTGGAAGATAGAGATAAGGCCTTCATAGGAGCAAGAGGCTGGTTCATTTGCTGCCCATATAAAAAAGATAATGTCTCCCTCTAGAGCAAAAGTCCACATGGTTTGCTTGCCATCTATCATAAAAGGTTTGGGTTCCTAAGCTCTTGTGTTCCTCAGTCAGCTGTAAAGCAAACCCCCACTCTGTGCAGCATCTGACTGGGCCATCTTGCATCACCCCCGTGGGACTGGGAGAACAGGAGAAAATCAACACGCATTGAGGCTTCTGCGGCTTGCCTTTCTATAAGTAGTAAAGTCCTGTCTCTAACCCAGGGTCACCTGGCTTCTCCCAGCAACCACGAAGTCATGGAAGGCTAACTCGTTAGTTGGGAAGCAAGATAAAATCTTAGAATCTTCACAGTTTTCCCCCAACTCTTTTTCAGACAACCCATTCTATGGTTGCACAGTGTTTATGTGCTATTTCTGGATAACATCAAAATGCCTTCTTTTAATGCTGTTGTTGTTGTTGCTGATGTTAGAGTAGATTTAAACTAGAGTGTAGCTCAGATTCTTAAGGACTTGATTTGAGCTGTATGGTGACCCGTATGAAACTGGTTTGTACCACATCCTCATTTCATTTATGCCG